ACAGTGAATTGAGTGTAAAAATTCAATCCCTAAAATGTACAAATAGTGTAAATACACTTACGTGAGGTTTTGATAAGTTATTGTTACTTTGTTTGATTTTTACATATAATCAGAGACTATTATGATTTGGATTATGTAAAAGCTGAGACCTTGATTTACTACAAAAAACATTTACTTTCCTTGTCAGTCCAAAATAAATATTAAATTTGACTTTTTATTCATCCTTTTTATGCGTTTATAGCTAGTAGTTAAGTTTCACTTTCTTTTTAATTTTTTTTGTACACAGTTGGCCTTGAAAATATAGATTTTATTACAATACAAATAATAATTTCTTAGTTGGGCAATCAGATCCTGAGAGCAGATCCCCTCTAGCTTATCACAAGTCGTATCTATCACCAATCTCTTGTGTGCCATTTCCATTTCAATTTCAAAACCCACCAAGCAGCGTCTGTAGGATGAGCAATGCGGGAATCGACGGAGGAGGAGGAGGAGGAGGCGGCGGATCTGGAGGAGCAGCAGGAGTGCCGCCCACAACGCCACCGCCCACTGGTCATGGATCCACGCGTCGCCTGAGCCACCTGACAGGCAGCAGCCGCTCGGGAGGAGCCGCCGCCATGGGCAATGTGGTGGGCTGGCTGAAGCAGGTTCTGTCCAAACCCAAAACTGATCCGTATTGATGTGAACCACCCAGCACAACACACAGTGTATTACACTACACTACCAAGAACAAAAAAAAAATAGAAACCTGCACCCCTTTGCTTTTGTGTTGCATCCTCCCCCGCCTGACTCTTCAGTTGCCCCTGATCTCCTTCGATGTGGTTATATCGTTGCACACCGAGCAGAATCTTTGAGCTCATATGCTGTTTTCTTGGTTTTTTCCAGGCCTCCATCGAGGTGCGAGACGCCGGCACACGGACTCTGTCAATGCTGCAGAGCAGCAATCCCAACTTTCGATCTTTGGACTTATCTCTGGGTACGCCCACTTCCGTCACACCGACCTCGAGCGAAGCTCCAGCTGCTCCAGCCAGTGCCACCGCCTCGCTGAGTGGTTCCACGCTGCACTTTGGACCAGAGGAGCCCGAGGAGACCGCCGGAGGCAGTCAATCACTGACGCCACTGGATGCCAGGGAACTTCTTACGCGACCCACTCGCGCCTACGCCTCCGTCAGTCAGCCCCAGAGCCCAAGGCATCGAGGATCGTGCTCGGGGTCTGTCACAGGTTCCAGGATATCCACACACGGCCTGACCGGCCGCTCCACATCGATTTCCTCGCAGCTGGAGAAGACCAAGAAGCTGCTTAAGATGACCGAGGGCGAGGACAAGCCGCTGACGATTCTGCACTACAACGATGTCTACAACATTGAGTCCATGGCGGAGACGGAGCCGGTGGGCGGGGCGGCCAGATTTGCCACAGCCATCAAGAGTTTTGCCCACCTGAACCCCTTGGTGCTCTTCAGCGGCGATGCCTTCTCGCCCAGCATGTGTGAGTAGTCCTAGAAGATTAAATGGGAGGAAGTAAGTAATCCAATCTTTGAAATATCACTCCAGTGAGCACCTTCACCCAGGGCGAACAGATGATTCCCGTGCTTAACTCGGTGGGAACGCACTGTGCCGTCTTTGGCAACCATGATTTTGGTGAGTCATTAGAGGTACTTAGATATCCAAGGGGAGATTAACCCCATTACCCTTTTTAGATCACGGCCTAGATGTGCTGGTGAAGCTGATTAAGCAGACGGACTTCCCCTGGCTCATGTCCAATGTGGTGGACAATGAAACCGGACGTCCTCTGGGCGGTGGCAAGATCTCGCATTTTATTCTGCACAATCAGATCTCCATCGGTCTGATTGGTCTGGTGGAACGCGAATGGCTGGAGACCCTGCCCACCATCGATCCCAACGAGGTGACGTACATCGACTATGTGGAGGCGGGCAATAAGCTGGCCCGTGAGCTGCGAAACGAGGGCTGTGATCTTATCATTGCCCTCACCCACATGCGAACACCCAACGATATTAATCTGGCCGAAAAGTGCAATGGGATTGACATCATTTTAGGCGGCCACGATCATGTGCGCGAGGTGACCGAGATCAATGGCAAGATGATCGTCAAATCGGGCACGGACTTCCAGCAGTTTTCAGTGATTACCATTGAGCGCGATCCGGCCAACCGAGAGCACTTCACCACGGATGTCAAGTGTTTCGATGTGACGGCCAAGGTGCCCGAGGATCCCGAACTTAAGCAAGAGCTCTCCAAATATGCCAGTAAGTAGCGCTGTTCTGGTTAGGAAATGTGAATCTAATCGTATTTCTCCTTGCAGAGTTCATTGAGAGCAAGCTGTCGGATGTGATGGGCGTCTTTAGTGTGGAGCTGGATGGTCGCTTCTCACGGGTGCGTACCCAGGAGACGAATCTGGGCAACTGGGTGTGCGACGTGGTGCTGGCAGCCGTTGGCGCCGATGTGGTTATCCTGAATGGTGGCACCTTCCGATCGGATCGGGTGCATCCCGTTGGGGCCTTTACCATGGGCGACCTGGTCAATGTAATACCGATGCGGGATCCTCTGATCCTTCTGGAGGTTAGCGGTCGTGTGCTGTGGCAGGCGCTGGAGAACGGTGTGTGCGCCTATCCCAAGCTGGAGGGTCGCTTCCCTCAAGTGGCGGGCATCAGTTTCGCCTTCAATCCGCAGGCGGAGCCTGGCAAACGAATCGATCCTCAGCTCATACAGGTGGGTGATGAGTACCTCAACCTCGAGCAGACCTACAAGCTGTGCGTCAAGAGCTATATCTTCATGGGCTGCGATGGCTATACCATGTTCAAGGATGCCACTGTGCTGGTGAGTCTTCAAACCTATTATAATATCTCTAAAGTCCCTAGTTTTAAGGATTATCTTACCCTTTAGATGGATGACGATGCCTGTCCCGAGTTGGGCATAACCCTGCAAAACCATTTCAAAGCCATTAATTCGCGGAAATGTGGCCAAAACACTAAGCATCGCCAGTCGCTGGTAACCCTGTCCAGGCGGCATAGTTTGGTGCAATGCCTGGACAGCATGGATCTGGATGGACCATCGCCCATACGCAAGTTATCTGTGGGTCATCACAACAAATCCATGGATCTGACGCATGGCAACTCCCAGAAGGTGAGCTTAATGCCTTAATAAATATATTTACTATTCATTTTATATAAAATCTTCTCCCAGATGCTGCGGCGTGCCTCCTTGGATGACCTGGAGCAATCAACCTGCGATTTGGCGCCGCAGCTGGAGCACCGCATCGTCATGATACAAAACGAAGAGGTGGGTGACCTTTATACTTTAAAATAACAATTTAATAATTAAAAATATTATCTCCCCGTCCACAGCATTACCGACAGCTTCTGTTCAAAAAAGAGACGCACATTATGAACTCCACGATCACCGAGGCCGAGGACGAGTAAAGATATTTATTCCAGACTTTTCCAATTCACAAATTTTGCATTTAATTTTTGTATTTTTTTATTTTCTTCTTTTTTTTGTTTAATTCTAGTTACAAGAAAATAAGACAACTTGATTTTAGGGCGGGGGCAGGACCTGAGTCCGATGTGGAGAAAAATATTTGAGTTTAAGAAGAATGATTAAGCAAAGCAAAGAGAAGATGTACTCGTTAGCTAGTTAGTTAGTTGCTCTATTTATTGCCGTTTATTGTTAACAACCACCGCCAGAGCTCTTCTGTTTCGGCCAAGTTTCGTTGTAAACGAGTGCCAGATTTCCCCCGGCAGGGAGATGTTTGAACTTGGTATTGATGTATTGTATATGATGTATGATGTAGTGAGTGTATCCCTAAAGCTTGCTAGTTTAATTTACCTTTAATTAGATAAACTGATTTTTAATTATAAACAGTAATTAATTACTGAAAAGCCCTTATGTTTTGTGATCTAGATAAAATGAGAGTTTGAGCTGAGCTTTGACATGATATTCCTTAAAGATATTCCAAAAAAGAAAACCCCTAGTAGTTGTTTTTCCACAGAACGCAATCAAAAGACACTACAGGTTGTAAGCAGAACGCACTGGACACTACACTACGAGAAAGCATGTAAAGTGAATATGTAAAGCAATATTTTAGACAATGCACTTGAAAAATGTTGAATGTATATTTTTATGGACACTTTTGGAGCAGCAGCAGCAGCAGCAAAGTATATTATTTTTTAGAGAAACGTGCGCCACACTCAAGGATAGTTGCTTTATTTTCTGGCATGTGTACGGAGTTCCTTCCACCACTACTGTGACCGTGAGATGTCCATTGAAGCAATCTGATTGCATGACCGACGACCAACAGGAAATCAGAACACAAAGGCAGCCACAATTACCACACAAAGTTAAACAATAAGTAGAGGAAGCCACATACGTATAGAACGTGTGTATATGACGTAGTCCACGCTTAACTGATTGTCCATGCTTAGAACGTATAGTTAACTAAAGTGAACAATATGCAGGCTCAAAATGCACCTGATTATTAATTACTGATTATAAAGGACACAAATATATAATATATATATAATAGAGATATCGAAATTCTTTTTAAATTCCGCCAACCCTTTAAGCAAAGACAATATAAAGGCTAATATGCGTAACGCCATATCCTGGAGTAGTTAAACAAAAGCTCAAGAGAGCGTTCAAACAAATCTTATGGCTTTACGCATCTTATTTGTCACATGGTCTTTGCTTCAAGACATTTTCAAACTATTTTGCAATGAACCGCATTTTGTGTGTGTATATTGAACGAAATACATTGATTTATGTAAACATTTATTAAATACATAAAACTATATGTAATGGGGATAATTTTCCTTTTTAATTTATTTGGCGGAAGCACGTTGGTTAGTCAGCACTAAATCGGGGGGCACTTAATTGGTCTTGTTAATACTTCATAAAGGGTAAGTTAGGGATGCCTATTGAGAATAACGCGCTGTACATTATATTGAAAATATCGTAAACTTTCATATATCGAAAAATAACGATATGAAAAATGTTATTTTATACATTTACCTCTTTTTCCGATTCGATAGATCATACAGAAACACGATTTATCTCAAAAATGTATACCGCAACGTTAAAAATATCGACTTCAGCTTTAAATATCAATATAACATCGATATATTGATGATTTCTGGCATCCCTAGGGTGAGTTAAATTAAACTTCTATGTTGTTCGCTAGCAGCCGTCAATAGAACTGCAACACCAAGGTCTTTATGGCACTGGCAATGTGGAAGGCGCAGTCGCGAACCTCCAAAGTGTTCTTCTGTATGGCCTGCTTGTCGTCGGTCTCTATAGCCTTCTGCAGATTCTCGCACTCATGCTGGATAAGGATTTTGTGGCGGGTCAGCTGCTTCAGGGTCTCACGCGTAGTCTCGCTGGCATTTGGCGGCTAAAATTTAAATTAAAGCATTGTAAGGAAAGTCTTTTTATTAATGTTCAAGTTAAAGATTAACTCACCAAATTGGCATACAAAGCTATCAAGTCGGTGACAGCACTGTGTATCAGCTCCCCGTGCGGGGCTATCGATTGCTTTTGATCCTCCGCCACCGGCTGCATGGCCCTAATGAGCTCTTTGAGGCAGCGTGTGACCAAATCGGAGCGCACCTTCACCTCCTCGCCGAAGGGCTTGCCATCGCCAGCCATTTGGTACATGCTGGTTGTGTTCCGTACATCCGTGGCTCCCTTGGCCACATTCGGGGCCAGACGACGCTCGTACATGCTGGCCGGCCGCTTAATGGTCGATTGGTTCGAGGAGCCATTGGAGGAGCCGCTGTCTGCGTTGCCAGCAGCACCCGAACCCCCCTCCGGCAGCGACAACGGCTCGTGCTCCGTGTCCGGACTACTCAGGCTCAGATCAATGCGACTAAATTAAGGTAAATTAAAAGAAAAGCATAATCATAAAACAAAAGCAAATTAAATGCAAATCAAAACGCTCACAGTGGTTCATCGTAGACGCTGTTGTTGGACGCGCTCGAGAACTTGGACTTGAGCTGCGAGTTCTCGCTGGACAACATCTGGACCACATTCTTCAGCTGGTTAATCTCAGACTTGTACTCGCTCAACTGTTTGCGCAGCGTATCCATTTCGTGCTGCGAAGTGGCATTACGTGGCGGAGTGTGGATAATGGCCTAAGCACAAAGGAAATAATAAGAACAAGTTTAACAAATCATAAACTAAACAAAATTAAATATTTACAAACTATAAAGAATTAAAAGCAAACAAGGGAAAAGGAGAAGCCAAAATCTACACATAGTTAAACACTACACTTTTGCAAGTATCAGCTAGTTTTATTGAACTAGCTATAAATATTGGCTAAAGCAGGGGCTATAGTGCCCTGAGCTACGGATTGAACACAACGGGTGTCACAGCACGGGGTCAGTCTTAACTAGCCGAAGCTATTGTTCAGCTTGAGTATCTTTTGGCGCATTAGGTTTACCTGCTGGGCCATGGGAGGGACCGGCGCATAGTCATCGTCACTGGCCACCGGATCGTAGATGGGCTCATCGTCCGACAGATTCGGATCGTGGCCACCGTCGAAAGATCCCAGCCTCATTGAATGGTTGACATACGGCAGCGATTGCAGCGACTGATTACCCCCATGCAGTGGGGCGGCAGCATCCAGTGGACGCAGGTTGGCCATGTTCTGGCGCCGCATTGCGTCAACGAGGACGTCGGTCAACAGACCAGCAAACTCGGCGCGATTGAAGCGTGCCAATTTCTGACGACCCTGTGGAGACGAAGCGTATGAATGAATATTTTGATTCAGAAAATTAAATGCTGTCAGACCTGATTGCGCGTGGCACTCAAAAACGGATTAGCTGGCAAGAATGGCACAGTTGCATGGTCAGCATTCAGGGTGCTCGTCGACCAGACTGCAAAGGGATGGGGTAATATTCAATTAGGACTGTTGATATTGAGAAATAGAGTTCACACTCACTTGCTTCGCACTCGCGTCGGTCCACCTCATCGTACAGATCCATGACCAGCTCCTCGAACATCTTGTTTGGCACCAACTGCAACTTACCACGAGCAATCTTGAGCTGCTCGCTGATATCAGCGCCATTGGCATCTGGTATGATCATGTGGCGGCCACTCTAAATATGGAAAGGAAGGTTTTTATATTAAAATAAAAATGAGATTTATAGAATTTAAATTTCCATATAGAATACACCTTAGGAACCAAGACTACAGTCCACTCACCGCATGATCTGGCTTCTTGCCGCCCAAGAACATGATGATTCTATCGGTTACATCATACATGGCGTCTTGCAGTCGCTCAGCGATGGTATTATGATTGTTGGCCCTGGCCAGTTCCAACGGAGTATGTCCGCCGTTGCCATCCAAGGCGTTCACATCTGCTCCGTAGATTAACAGCATCTCGATCTGCGAGGCCTGGCCGAATTTGGCGGCCATGTGCAGCGGCGTGGACAGCTTGTCCTCGTGATAGTAGTTGGGATCGGCTCCCTGTACTAAGAAACGCAGCGAAGTCTCCAGATTACTGGTCCGCACGCTAGCATGTAGCTGGCGACTTAGCTCCTGTTCCAGGCTGCCCGCCGTGCCGCTACCATCGTCGTCGTCCTGCAGACTTGGTTTCAGAACGAATGCTAGATTGACGTGCTTGGCCTTGATGAAGTCCGACTTGGTGGGATGCAGGGCATCCTTAGGTGATGGCTTCCGCCAGCGCGGTACATGTTTGCCGGAAGAGGAGCCGTTGGAGCCATCCAAGAGATGGTGCTCCCACACACTGTTGGCACCGTGGGCATTCAGCGAGTTGACGAAGTTCAGCACCGACGGCTCCCAGTTGCCCTGGCGCAGGGACTTCACGATCGAGATGTGCCGCCCCAGGCTGCGGTGGACCGAGCAACAGTCGGCGCACAAGAGGATGCCCCGGTTGATGCTCGCCCAGGAGGGATCGCTGGCGCCGCAATCTCCGCACACCTCCGTCTGCAGGCGGGACTTGCCCCGTGACATCTTGCTGCTGCTGCTGACCGAATTCCTGGGCGTGGTGGGGCTCCTCGTCTGCTGCTGCTGCTCCGGCTGCGGCGCTATAAATAACTTCTTATGCGCTTCGATTATGCTGCTGGCGAAACACATTCAGCATTCCAAGCTCCGTGGCTGCAGGGGGATAAAGAATAAATATAGAAAACGTTGGGAAAAACTCTCGGAAAAACTCAAGTGGCGTCCGCGTGAGTCAACGGCAAACTAAGAGCTCTGATTGGGAATCGGACGGGCTGGCGGTCAGAGGTCGTGTGTCCCCGCCAGCCCAGTTCACCCTGGCCAATCAATTAGGAAAATTACTTTTAATTAAACGCTGCTGGCTGCACTAAAAAAACATTTTCTTTGCGAAGGCTTTCACTATTTTTGTTTTTTTTTCCACTGACCAGTGTGACCAAGAGGTCTGGGTAGAGAAGCGCCAGATTTAAAAGGGAGAAGGTCTTAAATTGAATTTTTTAAGCTGAACTATTTAAACAAATTATTTTAAATACAGAAAATGCAGACAATTAAGTTTTATAAAATATATATAATAAACCAAGAAAATCATTTTAAAAGGTAATTAGTTTCAAAAACAATCCAACTAGACCTTTCATGGTCCAGATTTGGTCATACTAATTTTTACCTCTCTGGCAACGCTTCTGGGTTATATAGTTGTCTCGCTCTCTCTTGGCAAAACATATGTTTATCAACAGACGACAGTTTGAGAGCCACTGCCGCTTGGAGCCACACGTGCAAAACAAAAACAAAGTGCCGACTTAAAATTTTATTTTCATTGTTTTTAATTATTTAAAAAAGAAATTACGCAGATTAGCATGGAGGTGGATAATCTGTACACTTCGGTGGCGTGTAATCGCTGCACAGAATGCGCGGATTGGGGCCCAAATGGCCTGATTGCCTATGGAGCCTGCAATGCAGTGGCTGTTATGGACCCAAAGGTAAGTTCTTATTTACATTTCATCAAAAACCACAAATACTATAAATCTTTTGATTATTTTCAGTTTAATGGAAACTCGGCCAAGATTCTGTTTACCTTAGTGGAGCACACAAAGCGAGTAAACACTGTAAAGTGGTTGAACAACGAGAGGCTGCTCTCTGGCGGCGATGATGGAAATGCTGTTCTCTGGAAAGTGGATGACTCTGGTGCCACCAAGCATTTACTTCTCAAAGACCACACGAGTGGTGTAAATGCTGTGCATGGCGTGCATCGGGCGGACTGCTCGTGGCTCCTGGCCACCGCTGCTGCGGACAGCAGCATCCGGCTCTGGAGCTACCTCGATGGCGTCGCTACTTGTTTCCAAACTATCCAACTTTCGGGCGGCTTCTGCTTTTCTCTGCGCCTCACACTGCTCCCCAGCACCCATAACGTTCTCCTAGCCTTCAGCGGCGATGACGAGAGTGTTTCTTTGTACGCGGAGCAGGTGGAAGCCACAGGTGGTGGCGACTCTCTAAACCGTCAGTTCCATCGTGTTCACAAGCTCAGCGGCCATGAAGATTGGGTCCGAGGACTGGACTTTGTTTACGACGGAGAGGATCTGCTGCTGGCCAGCGGTTCGCAGGATAACTTTATACGCCTCTGGAGGATAGCACCACGCAGCGAGGAGCAAATGCGCGAGAATCGCATAGACCTCCTCCAGATGAGCGAGAGCGAGGCTGAGATCAAGGTGGAGGAGAAGATCCTGCAACTGGGCGAGCAGGCCTGGTATGCGGTGAGTCTGGAATCGGTGCTGTACGGCCACGAGGGTTGGGTCTACGGCGTTCAGTGGCATAAGACGAATAAGGGAGGTGGGTAAAATGTCTGTAGAAATATTTAAACTATAACTTATTCTCCTGTTTACATTTTAGAACTCGGTCTGCTCTCTGCTTCTATTGACAAAACCCTCATCGTTTGGGCTCCCACCGAGGATGGCGTCTGGTTGGAGCAAGTCCGCGTCGGCGAGGTTGGCGGCAACTCAATGGGCTTCTTTGGCGGCAAGTTCTCCGATGATGGACACTCGATCGTGGGCCACAGTTACCAGGGCGGGTTCCACATCTGGAATCAGGATCGAGATCGTCCTCAGCTCTGGTCCTCCAATGTAATTGTGGGCGGTCACTATGGCGAGGTGAGGGATCTGGCCTGGGAGCATGACGGCGCCTATCTGATGACCGTATCGGCGGATCAGACAACTCGCCTGCACGCTCCTTGGGTCCAGGAATCCGCTGATCCCACTTGGCATGAGCTGGCACGTCCACAAATCCATGGCTACGACATGCAGGCCTTGGCCTTGTTGTCTCGCTATAAGTTTGCCAGTGGAGCGGAGGAGAAGATCGTTCGCACATTCCAGGCTCCTGCAAACTTCATTGAAAACTTCCGGAACATCAGCAGGGTGGAGAGCGATGAGGCGGGCGATGCTCTACTGGATTGTAAGTGAAGTGACCTACATTTTGAGTTAATAATTCACATAATCCCTCTGTCAGCTCTACCCAAGGGAGCCTCTGTACCCTCCCTGGGTTTGTCCAACAAGGCTGTATACAAAGTGGACAGCAGTGCGGAGGATACAAGCAAGGGCAAAAACGAGTATCCTGAAAGCTACTTTGTTCCCATAACTCTGGAAACGCCGCCCCAGGAGGAGACCTTGATGCAAAACACACTCTGGCCGGAAATGCAGAAACTGTACGGCCATGGCTACGAGATCTTTGCTCTGGCCGCCACTGCCGATGGCTCTGTCTTGGCCTCAACCTGCAAGGCCAGCAATGCCGAGCATGCTCAGATAATCCTGTGGTGAGCTTAAGAGGAGGGAGGGGATGTGGATAAAAAGTTTACACCGTTTGTTGACAGGAACCCATCAAACTGGAAACAACTGCAGAAGTTGAGCGGCCACCAGTTGACGGTCACGCAACTCAGCTTCTCTCCAGATGCCCGATTACTTGTCTCCGTGTCGCGCGACCGTCGCTGGTGCCTGTACGAGAAGCAGCAGGATTCCACAGCGGGCTACCAACTGGTGGCTAGCACGGACAAGTCGAACGGAGTGCACACACGCATCATCTGGTCATGCGATTGGTCGCACGACGGACAGTTCTTTGTGACTAGCTCAAGGGATGGCAAGGTAGTGGCATGGCGAAAGGATGAGAACGACGAAATCTCTAAGGAACCCTCCTCCCTGAATGGCTGGCAAGCGGCGGCGGTGCTGGAGCTCAAGAATGAGTCAATCACGGCGGTGGCTTTTTCCCATGATTACCTAAACGGAACCGATGACACATATATTGTGGCGTTGGGCACGGAAAGTGGCCTGATAAAGGTATATCAGTTGGTTAAGGGAGAGTGGAAGCTGCTTGTCGATTTGCACAAAGAGTGAGTAGCTATTAAATCATTCATTTTCCTCTATCTAATGGAAACTTTTTAGCCAAGCCCATCATCTCACCGTTCGGAGGCTCCAGTTCCGTCCAGGACAGAAGCTCCTCCAGCTCGCTAGCTGTGGCGAGGATCACCTGGTGCGCATCTACGACATAAAGCTGACAGAAGTTTGACATTGTCTGCATTAAATTAGCCTTATTAGCTTATTGGCCGTTGAGTTTAATTATGAATCTGTGCAGACTTGGCAGGGAGAGGGTTGGCTTGATCGAGACCCAGACGAGCTAGACGCTATCTAATCTGTTTGTTGCAATTAGGCATGTTCGGGGTTTCCCTTTGCTTCTGTTTTACCCCCCTCCCCGAGATAACAATTTATTGACACCTAATTAGGTGCAAAAAAGAGTTTCGATTCCGGGTATTTAAGTTGGTATATTCCCATTTGTGGCTCACAGTCTTTTGTAACCCATTCGAGATGAAGGCAGCTATAGTTTTGGCACTGATTGGTTCCGTTTTGGCGGCTCCGCCCATCAGGCAGATGCAGAGACCTGACCACGATCAGTACTCACACATATTTGCGCAAGTGCGACCGGCGGGTCAGAAGCCTCAGAACATGGAGTTGCAGTTTCAGTCGCAGGGAGAGGTTACCGCACAGCAGAAGCTGCAAGTCGAGGAGAATCACCAGGTTCAACTGGTGGATGTGCAAATGAGGCCCGTGGAGCAGAAGCCCCAGCATGTGGTTGAGGTTGAGATCAAGCAGCAGCACCCCAACTCTTCTCCCAATCATCTGGTGGAGCTGGAGGTCAAGCCCGTGGAGCACAAGCCCCAGCATGTGGTGGAGGTTGAGATTAAGCAGCAGCACCCCAACTCTTCTCCCAATCATCTGGTGGAACTGGAAGTCAAGCCCGTGGAGCAAAAGCCTCATTCCGTTGAGCTGGAGATCAAGCAGCAGCGCCCCGAACAGCAGAGGCCTCAGCATGTCGAGTTTGAGATCAAGCAGCACCAGGAAGACTCTGCCCAAGGACACCTGGTTTCTCTGGGAGCCAAGCCCGTGGAGCAGAAGCCACAGCATCTTGAGTTCGACATGGCTGTCCAGGAGCCGGTGGACCTACCCCAGCATCTCGAGCTGGAGATCAACCAGAATAATAAGCTCACGATGTCCGGCCCCCAAAACCAACACCTGAACCTCAGCCAGCGCCAATAGAAAGTGGCTGCGAAACACAAAACTATATCCGTATGGGAATAAAAGTGCATTAAATATGTATAATTACAGAAAGTAGCTTTTCACTGGCGCAAGTCATCCCAAGATGCTTGTAAAATGAGAAATAAATAAAAATGGTTAGCCGGGAATGGGAACGGGAACGGGATGCAGTCAGCGAGCACAAGGAGCCGCAGTTTGCAATTTCCGTTTAGCTGCATAGTTTTGGGCCAAGACAGCTATGGCCAAAGCCACGTGACCGGGAGGAATCACAGGATAAAGTGGAGCCGGGGGTGCTGAGTTATGGCCTGAGCGTGCCACCTTTTTAACCGCAGCTTGCAATTTCCGTGCTCCAACTGACTTTATGATTGCCATTGGCTTCTGGCTTCGTCTCCTGCTCCTGCTCTTGCTCCTGCTCCAGCGCCATTGTTGTCCAAACTTTTGGAGCGGAGCTCCGGCGCGAAGCTGGCAGTGCGGTTAATTGGCTGGCGGCCATCTTTTGCTGGCACTTTAATTATGTTTTTCGTAGAGTCCGCAACTCCTACTCCCCTGCCACACATAGCTTCTATATCCATCTACTATGTCGTTGAACCACCGCCGAGGAACCGCATAGATAAGCACATAAATCTGCATTGTTCCCGGTTGCCACAATGGGGCAGAGAGTTAACTATTGAATTGCATTTAGGCCACGTCGGAGGTCGATTGTCCTCGCACCTATTCAGAGACAGCCAATATCCCGGCGGGAAGTGCTCTCTGCCGGGTCCCCAATGGCTCAATCGGGATTGTGATTGGGGAAGGGAGTGGAGGAAGGGAGGTTCCTGCGTTCCACGTCTGTGTGTTCACACTGAGTGGCGTCGATGGAAAAAATTGGAACAGAATTCGCGGCTCATGATTGTTTTATTCTTACACCGTAAAGAAATATTTGTTTTTATTAAATTTTCAACTGATCCCTGCATTCGTTATATGTATTCGATGCAGACTTTTCAATGTTTTGAATATAATATACAAGTAAATAAAGTCCTGAAATGATAATTCTTAAATTCTTATTGCTAGGGTTCACATCTGTATTTACTGACTTAAAAGACACAAATCAAATAATTTATCAAGAATAAATATTTATTCTCCATGTACCTTGCTCGCGTTATTTTTATTTAAAGTCAAATATTGGCAAACAATGCCTGTCCCGTCCATTGCAATGGCGCTACACGCGCTTCCGTTTCCGTTCAGAAAGTTCCACAAAAATCCCATACATTCATGCATTTGTTACCCAAAAAACTTTTGTTGCAAGTTGCATTGTGCTGTGGCATGATTCCGCACTCTTTATTTATTTTCTTAGCCCCCGCCGCCATTTGTTATTGTTGCAACAATTTTGCATTTTGCGGAAAAAGTTTAAGTTTCAATTGCAGCGAGAACGTGCCCAAGAGTTGCTGACAGCCACTGTTGCTGGTGCTGGAAACTGAAGCCATTCTGGCCATAACATGTGTAAACATATTCCCCCGATCCAGTATCCCAGCAACGCAGGATCCCAGGCTCCCAGCTTCCCAGTCCAGCCTTCCAGCATCCCATAGTCAGCTTGCTACGCGAAGCAAACAGACATTCGTTTGCATGTGTGTCAGTAGTGGATTTCGCTTTGGCTGCGCTTTCTGTTTGCCTGCCATAGTTTTTTTTTCACTTGTTTGACTTGACGTTCAATCTTCCCTATACTGTGGAAAAAATTGATCAAGGATTATAAAACAACGACAATTTCAAAGGAAATGGAACTGAATTGTGGGTTTCCCTCCTTTATTAGATTAATGAATGTCTTATGCATTTGGTTAACTATGTTATTTACCCTTATGAACATTTTTTAAAGTACAAAATGTAGGTAACAAATTCGTATTGAACTTTCCAGTGTCTTTTCTACAGCCAATTTAAGCGTCAAAGTCGTACCGCAGAGGAGGTCGAATGGAATGGCTTGTTGATACAACTCTCGTGCTGGTCATCGTCTTCTGAAAAATCCCTAAAGCAAAAGCAAATTAATTATTCCAGTGGTGCAGCGTATGCCAGTCCATAGCCATATATATTTTTGCTCGCTTTTCGCTGTCACACACCCCCATGCATACATATGTATGTACATATATTCACGCATATGTTTCGCTCGTATTTCCGTTTTGAGTGCGGCAGCAACAATGGCGCACGGTCCATGATTTGTGCATTTCCGCTTTTTGGCAGCACGCACACGCAAACCGGAAGCTGCCATAGCTGAAACCGAAGCTGGGGCTGGGGCTACGAATGGAAACTGGAGCTGCGACAAAAGCCAATTGATGCGCATTGAACATGCTGGCCTAGTTCGAGATGAGTGGCCAGTGGGTACCAGTTAAATCGCAATTGCCAATTGATTAAGCAACGAGTGTAGTCCAGCTTTTTGGCGCATTTGGCGTAACAAGCAAAAGTTCGAAATCGAAAACTTTCAGACTGCTAAGCCAGCCCAAAGCTGAAGTTCAAAGTTTTTCAATTACCTGACCGCGCTCTGTCTCAGTCTCCGGTCTCCAGTCTCCAGTTTCTTGTTTCCAGGATACCCAAATCCTTGCCAGATCCCGAAACAAATTTCTGGCTAGCATAGTTTTGTTTGCTTGGGAAAAAGGGAAAGTTTAACACAAGACAAGAGTAAAAAGTAGACGGAAAGCGGAGTAAAAATACGCCGGAGAGTTGCGGATTTTGATTATAAATATTGTAATGCAAACTTCGGGCCAGGTCCATTTAGCGGCTCAATTTAGTGGGTGGCATCGGCCTCAGCTTGATTCCGTTTTCATTTGTGTCTGCCAAGCCTTTGAAAGTTGGTAAACCTTAATTGTTTTCCAATTAGTTGCGCTGTAAAAAGTTTGAAGTTCATTTAGCTCCTGCCACATGCCCGCTCCCTGACGCCTTATCTCCTCTTTGCTCTTCATTGCTTTTTTGCTCCTGTTTTCTCGCAGTCAACGTGGCGTATGATGAATTTTTAATTACGTGTGCTGCAAGCAAACCAGACACAAACAAAAAAAGAACCAGAAGGGAGCCAAAAAAATTGGTAACAACTGTTTGCCACTTGCAAATTGTAGCTGACGAAAAAAGAAGTAATAAAAAATATCGAGGATTTTTTGCTGAAAACTCTAAAGCCAAACGAATGGTTTTCCCAGACATTCGGTAGGTGCAACAACATGGAGGCGTTGTGTCCATAAATTGGCAGCATAAAAGAGGAAAAAAACTGCTTTTTGGGCCAGCATAATTACACTGTTGGTTCAGATCGTTTAGGCCACTGCACTTGACAGTGAAACCGTGCTTCCTATTTGAATTTCCCGGGTTCTTAGGGGATTAACTCCTGACTGATTTATGCAGCGATGCTTAACCACCTTTAAGCTTTAAGCCCACTTAAATCCGGCCATTATTCTGTAGCTGCAGTGGCAGTTGTATTTGTATTTGTATTTGCATTTGCATTTGCATTTGTCTTTGCTCAGCTCAAACCGAAAACAATTTAATTGTTTTAAGCGCGAATCGCTTTTGGCCATTTTCGACACTCCTGATTGCAGTTGTAAAAAATGTTTGCCAAAAAAGGGGAAAAACACTAAAAATGAAAGAGCAAACGGTGTATTGTGTTCTGTCAACAGTGCAGCAGGAGCAGGAGCAGCATCATCACCTCTGGGAAACGTAACCACCGGACTCCGGCACCAGCCGCAGGGAAATGGCCCGAATGCAAAAGCCATCGGACATTTTTCCAGCATTTACGATTTCCCTTATTGCTTGCGCTTTCATTTCGTTTCGGACACTTTTCCAGCCGCCTGACAATTTCATGTTTTTTATCAATTCGCGTTGGACTTCTGTAAATGCATTGCATTCATAACTTTTATTTCGCTGTGGAATTATATATAGTATTTGTGGATACGGGTCTACTGCTAATGGTTTTTTTAAACATCAATTGTGTGAAGTTTAAAGGTTTGAAGGCTGAATAAGATAAAACTTTTAGTTTTTAAGAATACATATTAATTAATCAAAATTACTTTAATTTTGCTGTGGAATTATAAATATTATTTTGATTTTCTTAAAGATCAATGTGTGATGTTTAAAGGTTTAAGGCTAAAATAAGAAACCTTCTAGTTCTTGATAATACATAATAATTAATAAAAATTTAAGCCCAGCTGAAAGGCAGTTTAAACTCTTTCAGCCATTTACAAATATTTATATTTTTTTAATTTATTAAAGTTGTCACTTTAAATCACTTTACAAAGGTTTATTTATAGCTATACGCGAATGCCCTTGTTAAGGTTACTTTGACTGCCTGAAACCTAAATTTATTTCAATTTGTTTTCAAACATAAATGTTTCATTTTACCTATTCATTAAATCGCACATAAATAAAATTATTCGAGATTAATTAGTATAAATAACAGAAAGATATATTGTAAATATTATACTTACTTATTGATGCATAATGAGAGCAAAAACTCCTCGGTTTGTGGCCCTCAAAACGAACTTGGTCCTCGGTTGGATTCATTTCAGTTCATTTTCCCACAGCTGTCAGGATTCTTCCTGGACTCTTTTTTTTGCATTTTTTCTGATGTATGTTGAATGGTCGCAACTGTTGGGCGTTAAAGTTAATTTGTTTACTCTGATGCGTCAATAAAAAAATACGGTTTTTGTGACTTTATCATCAAGGGCTGCGAATAGATTTGTCAGAGTAAAAAACAATTTGCGCCACATCGTGCGGATTTATAAATTCAATATGCTGTTGAGTGCGATTAAGGGAAAAGCCACTCCCCTGCGTTGACGTCCATTGATGTGGTTAGCTCTGCTCGCTCCTGTTCTCTTCTCGCTGCCAAATGGGGGACAAAGGAAAATCGGGTTAAGCTGAGAAAATCAACTTTGACTTAACAACATTAAAAGCGCACTGCTTTAAAGGCCTTTAAGTTAATTTCCAGAGGCAACTCCCCGACAGTCCCCGCTCCGGCTGAAAAGATGATAAATTTTTATGCCGAACGACTCTGAAGGCAAGTTTATAAGTATGCCTGTGTGTGTTTGTGTGTGTTGTGAGGCT